AAAGACTTAAATAAAGTGATTTGACTAAGACTATTTTTTAATTTATTTTTGTTTTATAAAGACTAAATAAACATTTAAAAAAATTATAAAATCATATGTTATTTATCCCAATCAAACTGTAGGAAAGCGAAAAAAAGAATTGAAAAATAGAGAATAGTATCGTGATTAATACTTATTAAAAGAAATATTGAAAAAAAATTAAAAAAATGAGTCTACAAAATCAAATTGAGTGAAAGAGTTGAATATGGGTGGTAACACCTTACATAGTATATCTTAAATATGGTTAACCGTGATTAAATAAATATATTATTTATATTTTAAATACTTATTTCATTTATAAATAAAAATTATTAATTTATATAAAAATTATTACTATTATAAAACTAATTGTTATGAAAATACTAAAATTATTTGTTTCAAACAAAAATAAGATATGCTCTTACATATTTTTAAGTATAATAAAAAATAAAAATTACATAATTCTTTATAAAAAAATATTTGTGAGTTAATATATTTTAATTTGATTTTATTAAATTTAGGATTTTTCAACTGTGAAAACTCGAAAGTATATATTAAAGAATTGATTTATTAAAAGAGTTTTGATTTATAATCTTTTTTATTGTATTAAAGAGATCGGTAGAATTAGTCAAGTCACATTAAAAAATGACATCCTAATAATTATTTTTTAACAAAATTTTATTTTTATATTTATTAAAAGGTAATAAAATTTATTTTTTAAGTATTTTGGTTAAATTGAAATATTATTATTATTATTATAAAATAAATGAATTTTAAATATAATTAAAAAATTAAAAAGTAATGGAATGAAAAAACATAAAATTAAATAATAACTAAATTTTTAATTATGAGTACAAAGGAATGAAATAAAAAAAATTAAAAAAAAATATTTGCTCAAAGTAATGAAAAGTATTAATATTCAAATCTCCTGTATCAATTAATCTTCAAATCTCCTGTATCAAATTTTTGTATAGTGTTAGAGAAGAAGGAAGGTTTATTCACAAAAACACTTATATAAAAATAATAATATAATAACAGATAATCAAATATAAAAGATAGATGTATCTGAAAAGTGGTGAGGTAATATACATAAAGTTTTTTTTAAAATAATAAAATATATACTTAAGACTCTTATTAAATTATTTTAGATAATAAATAATATATGTTTTAATGGTATTATTATTTTTTATAACCAAATAATCAGTATATTATTTTATACATTATTATTTAATTAATATGCATTAAATACGATTTATGAAGGAATTTCTTAAATTATATTATACATATAACATGTAAGTTATCTAAGAAATCAAATCATAAAATTTTTAGATTCATTTGAAAAATTTTCAAGCAGATCTTATCAAATAGCACATGTAAAGAACAAAATGATAATGAGAAAATTATACCAACAATAAAAATAAGATAAAATCAGGAGGTGTTCACACTATTTTATTTCTGATACCCACATTTATATAATTAACATTTATTATTCAGTATGACACTAATATATAATTATTATATTATTATACACTAAAAATAAAATAGAATAAAATAAAAATTAGTTAATTATAAGTCCTAAAACAATTACATGTGAATATAAAGATAGGACAAAAATAAACATGTAATCTTAATAATATATTCAAAATATGTATAAATATATAATGATTTCGCAAATAAATTACATATGTAAATTTAAATTAGTTTGGATTTATAAAATGGTGTTTTAAATTTTATCTTTGTTTCACTTTTGGCCTTTATGTGATCTTTGTGATGAATATAAGACTAGGTAATCTGTTTTAGAACTATTTTCAACGAGGTAATCAAGAGAAAAAATGCACAAAAATAGGAACTATAAACAAATAGAATTTAAATAAAAGACTTTAAAACTAGACACTATTTATAGGTAAACAAATACTTGATCATTTAAAAGTTTATTTTTTATAAATAATAAAGTCTTTCCATTTTAAGTTTATAATTGTGTTTTCATAATTTATTTTTATATAAATCATGTATAATTAATTTATAAGATGAAATTATGTTATCATGTATAAGTGACAACCCACTTTTGTTAAGTATTAAAATTAACTATTTGAACTTTAATTAATACCATTGATTAAACTGAAATAGTTATAATAATTTTACACCAATTAATCATCTGAAAATTTTCATACACAAGGACAATGTTTACTTACATCAGACGTTATAGGAAGTTAAAAATATTATTTTAATTAGATATACATTAAGTTGTTTAAAGTAAGATAAGATGGTTTATATATTTTTTTTCTGAAATTTAAATTTTTATTTTAATCATAAGTTATTTTGTTCTAATTTTGAATCATTTATATATAAAATCCTCATTAAGATAATATTTTTTATTCTTGAATTTTTTTTTATAATCAATCTTATTTGAAGTTGTTCTTAATAATATGAAGAGAAACTCAAATTTGACCATCAAAAGTTAAAACACTTGTTCACCAAATTAATTTTTCAAATATACAAAGTGTCACAACAATAGTTCTATAAAGATTTAATAGTTAAAAAAAAAAAACATAGGAAACAAAAATATAGTAATGATGACATGGTCCATGTATGGAGTAGGCTAAAACAAAAAATGTGTACCTTCTAATAAGTATTTGACTTATTGTCTGTTCAATACCACACCTTTTTGGAAAATTTTCAAAGAAACTGTTCATAGAAACTTAATGATTTATTACCTTCAATAATTGAAATGCAAATTAATTTCATTACATCTAAGTGTCATTGCATTGAATGTAATGTTCAACTTTAAGTAGAATTAGTGTTATTTTTTAATTTTAATAATTGGACTCATAATAATAATAATAATAATAATAATAATAATAATAATAATAATAATAATAATAAAACAGAGGAATAGTGTATTGTCATGTATAGTATTTATTTTTAATATAATAACTAGTTAAAAAGTTCTGTGTGGGATTTTTTCTTTTATTAATTAGAGAATTGATAACTACTCGTGATAATCAAAGTGATGAAAATTCTCGACTTGCTTACGTAAATTTGTAATATAAAACTAAATCAATTTTATACAATTTTTTATTACTTAAATAATTACATTCTTTGAGTGATAAATTAATTTCATGTGTACATAAGATTAAATATATAAGTTTTTATAATATAAAATTGTTTATAATTAGTAAACAATTTCATAGGTTAACACTACTTATCATACGAAAGCTATGACACCACGACCTTTCTTAGAACCAGATTTTTTATTTTTTATTACATTCTTAATGATTGAATAATCGGTTACATATATACATGTTATAATTTTTTTTATTGTATTTAAGATCATGATAATTTCTTTTCCTATTTGAAAATAACTTTAATTTTAGTTTTTATTTATTTAAAATTATTGATATTTTTGGTGTGTAATTAAATACTTCTTCCGTTTTATAGTGAAGATATTTTGTTTACTAAATTCAATAATACTGATATTAATAATAATAATAAATATGTGACTCGTTAACAGTTTTATTAAAGTATTCATATATTTTTTAAATGTGAGTTTTTAAACTTAATTATTATTTTAAAGTTCAAATAATTTTTAAGTTTTTTTTTAATTATATCATAACTCTTCGCCTAATATTTAATCATTTTATGAATATGTATTTATTATAACACAGAAATGAAAGTAGTTAGAATAGAAATTCTCCAAACAAAGTTATTAAGATATGAAATGTTTTATTAATTTTCTTGATTGACACAAAAGTAAATTAAAAGAGATAAGGAAAGGAGAAAAAAACTTTATTGTGCGCAATTTTTATTGTTATAAATATAAATATTAATGTAATTTGGTTAGAAAAATTAGAAACATAATTAATATTTTATTGAAAATTTCGAACTTTAGCAAATTTTTTTCTAAATACTATTACAATGAAAGAAGTAGTATTTTTTTTATACTCCGTATCTAAATAAAATATAACATCTCTAATATAAGAGTCTTAACAAGAATCTAAAATTTAAAACCATTTCTGTAAAAAAAAAAAAAAACTCTTATTAAAACATATTGATATGATAAGAGTTTAAAATTAAGACTCTTAAAACCCTAAATCTCAAATATTTTAAATAATTTTCAATATCAACAATGTGTATTTAGAACACCAACAATAAATAAATTTTAATTATAATAATTAAATTAATTTTTAAGCAATAAAAATTAGAAAAAAAATTATAAGAATTACTTAAAAAAAATTCTAACAATGTGAGACTAACTTTAAGTAAAATAATGTATTTTACATTTTTCTTATATGACCTTTAAACGTTATAGTATCAATATTTACATTTGAAACATATAATTAAATAAAACATAATTTTATTTTTTTAAACTGTATCTTTTTTAAATAGAGAAAGTAATGTTATAACAGTGATTATATATATTTTTAAAATTAACGAGTATTTTTCATATCCTCTCTCTTGTATTTACTGTGTGACAGTAGTAAGCTACATTGGGCGTCTAAAAATAACGTTTGAGTTATTAATTTGAGCCTCGAAAAAGAGACCCAAAACTTTTTGGTCATTAACTGGTCTTAACCTTTATTCTGGCACAGCATTAGCATTAGCATTAGCAGCAGCATACTCACTCACTCACCTCTCATGCAGCCCTGACACAGCACTGCACAGGTGAGGGACCAAACCAACTACCTTCTCCCTCCTCCTTTCCTCTTCCATTTCCCATAATTTTTATTTCCCAATCACACACAACACAATGCCCTAAGAGATAGTCTCTCTCTAAGCGTGCAAAAAACACCAATAAAACCTTCAATTTCAAGAAACCACAAAACAATTCTCTCACCACCTTTTACCTTCTCACTCTCTCTCTCTCTCTCTCTCTCTCTCTCCATGTATTTATTTATCTGCCATACTTGTTCTCCTTCTTACTCTTCCATACCTCTAACCAAGACCAACTTCACAAAAAAAAAAAAGAGACTTGGTTCCAGTCCATGGATTTTGACCTCGAAAACCCTCTTGGAAACTTCCACAACCTTCCGTACGACGTTCTCCCTTCCCTCTTCCTCATCGAATCCGATCACATCCCTCCACCCAATTACTGTCAAACTCTCAAAGCCAGCGACTTCGACATCTCTGTTAGAAGAGATGTTGTCTCTTTGATCTCACAGGTAATCAAGCACCAAAAGCAATTCACTTTCTTTGATAAAGATAAATATCCAGTTTTCTTGTTTTTGTTTGTCAACGTGGCTTCTTACTTGTTTTGTTTCTTTCAGTTGGCCTGCGCCTTCGATCCAGTTCTTCCTTACCTAGCTATCAACTACTTGGATCGCTTCCTCGCTAACCATGGAATATTGGTAACTAGCTAAACCAAACAACTTGTTCATAGTTTACTCCACTTTGTTTAATACATAGTCTCAAAGGGTCTGTAACTACATTTTCGACTGCAATATCAAGCCTTTTGGAAATACCAGTCGTGATTATGGTCACATTTGTTTACAATTACATTTTTTCATAATTTCCTGCACTATCAAGGATTGTATAGTGACGGCAGTGGCAATTTAAAACCTTAGTTTTGTACCAGTAAAAAAAGAATATGTCTTATTAAGATCTAACTAAAACTTGGTTTGGGCAACAGCAACCAAAACCATGGGCAAACAAGCTTCTTGCAATCTCTTGCTTTTCTTTAGCGGCCAAGATGCTGAAAGCAGAGTACTCTGCTACTGATGTCCAGGTAAACTTCTCGAGCATTCTAAGGTTTTGAATTGAAATTTGAAAGCAAAGGTTTTGTAAGAAGGGTTGATATTCATTTGAACTACTATTGCTTTTGACCAGGTTCTTCTGAATCATAGTGATGGCGGTACCATTTTCGAGACACAAACAGTTCAAAGAATGGAGGGCATTGTCTTGGGGGCTCTCCAGTGGCGAATGCGTTCGATCACCCCCTTCTCTTTCATTCCTTTCTTCGTGAATTTATTCAGGCCCACAGACCCGGCATTGAGACAGGTTCTGAAGGATCGAGCTTCTGAAATCATACTCAAGTCACAAAGAGGTATAAATATAGTTGATGCTTAATTTACTTGAACATTTGTAAGTTACCCGAGTTAATTTGATTGCTAATCTAGGATTAGAGTTAAATAACGTTTCTTATTTTACTTTACTTTTCAGAGATAAAGGTCTTGGAATTCAAACCATCTATAGTTGCTGCGTCAGCCCTTCTGTATGCTTCACATGAGTTGTTTCCCTTCCAATATCCATGTTTCTTGGGAGCAATATCCGAGTGTTCATATGTTAACGAAGTACATATTCCTTCATTCTTTTCTTTTTTTTCTTTTATTCAACACATGGTAAAATGAGTGGTTAAAAAAAGTTTTTTTTGTGTGTCTTGTTATTATGTGGATAAGAAAGGGTACGATGATTTTACTGCAGGAAACTGTGGTGCAATGTTTTAATGTGATACAAGACATAGCCAGGGAGGAGTACGAATCTGTGTTGAATATAAATTCAACTTCAGACACACCGGTTAATGTGTTAGACGAACATTTTCTGAGCTTGGAAAGTGAAAAAACCAACGGAGCGACGCAAGAGCAGGAGTTCAAAAGAAGGAAAACCGCCGATTATGGCAACGAACGCACGGTACCGTTTTCTCATTTTCATCAATGCTGAAAGTACACCAGAAGAAGACCACATTTAATCCTCTGGTCCATCCACCAGTGATTAATGTCGTTGGAAATATCATATTGTCGCGGTTTAACATAAAAAATTATGAAAACAAATGGAGAACAAAATAGTAGGAAGAGACACTGATGGACTCAGAATGAGAGGAGAAGAATTCGATGATCCGTAGTTAGTGGACGAAATCACTGTAACGTGATCCTGGCACGGCCTTCATTAAATCTGTTGGTTGTGTGTAAAGGACCATGGAAGATAAGATGAGTTTTTTTTTTTTTTTGGTAAGAGATAAAACAAAAAGACAAAACGTGACTTTGATTTGTAGGGTTTTTTTTGGCTGTTTCGTAGTCAAGCGTGGTTCTGCCTCTTAGCTTCTGGTGAAGGAATAATCGAAATAGTAATATTTAAGCAACCAATTTTCTTGGAAAAAAATATAGCACTTTTATTTATGTATTAACGTATTTTGTTCTGGTTCTTCTTTCTTCTGAGTGAGTTCAGGTTAGCGCAAACCAATAATAGCGAAATCCCGTCCTATAAATATGTTGGGGTAAAAAATTGTTATGGCAATTGGGCATCTACGAAGAGTGTTTCCTCTCCCCTCTCCTACCTATATTGTGTTAAGGAAAAATCTCTCAAACAAGAAGAAACACATGAGATAGAAAAATAACATTACAAATGAAAAATAATAAAAATATTTCTATATCTCTTCACTCACCATATTTAAGACTGGTAGACTTTATTATTTCATCTCTTTATTTATATGAACCTTCCATATTCTATTCTTGTATTAATGTTTTAGAAATTTCAATTGATTTTTCCATTAAATTGTATAATGAGAAATGGTTATATATAGTGAAATTATTATAATTCTGTTTTGAAATAGGCTAAGAAAATTTGAAGTAATTTTGTCTAATTCCGATGATTATCAGATTTTTATACCCATTGAACAGTGTTTTTGTTATACCATTTCTAGAATGGAGGATTTGTCTATTCGCCCAAATTGTGTTTAACTTCTTCACTGATGATGACCAGACTAGGAGATAATTCCGTTTCAAATAGGATAAGCAATAATCAATCTCTTCAGTAGGCAATGATCAAGAGATACCGTCTTTCAGGTTTATTCATTGAGACGAAAAGGTTAAAAATATGTCTATAACCTATCAAATGTATGATCAGTGTAACTAATCATGGAAATAAACAATCTCTTAATCTTGATCATTGAGAACAAGAGGTTAAAAATGTGTGTACTTTGAGCCAGTAGAAAACTAATAGAGTACAGATTTCAATCATTTTTTAGGTGAAATGTAATCAATTTCAACTAATTTTGAGGAGTGGTGATATTTTGATAAACATAATAATCATATAATAATCATATGGTTATCCAGATAACTCATTTTTATTAATATAATAATCTATAAAATAATTTAATAAAAATAAAAATAAATTAAAATTATTATTATAATATTAAGAAATGGTTGTTTATAAGAGTTGTTTAGAATTTGGATTTACATAGACCTATCTGTCAAGTTGTTTAATGTTTTTTAAGTTATCAGTGGCTACAGAACTTGTGAATGTCTGGTACGTGAGAATTTAGCGAAGGAGTAGTATTTTAATCTCTCTCTCTCTATATATATATATATATATATATAAATGAATCGTTGAAAGGTCCAAATGACTCAGACCTCTTTATCAAAGATATTTGTTCGGACCCATTTTTGAGATCTCTGTTCTTGTACCTGGGAACTGATTGCAACTTCACAGAGGGAATAGGGACCACAGTGGGTTCGTTTTCTTTTAAAAACAATAATCTTTACCCTTTTATAAAGTTTTGTTCTCTGTTTTTTTCTTTGGGTTTTCCTCTTGTTTGAGCTAGCGTTTTTCGTGTTTATTATAATGGCGACATGAGTGGCGTTTTCAGTCTCAGATGGTCACTTATATGGAGGCATTTTCAATCCAAGTGATAAGCATTTAAAACTAAACCTACTGCAGAAGACTCTTACTGTTGAAGTAACAAAATTTCTTACCTGTTACATAATTAGGTACCCTGCCATAGAAAAGTTTGAGTTTGATGATGCTGTGCTTTTTTTTTACTTTTGAATGCGCTGTCAGATTCCTAACATGAAAGCGCCGTTTGTTGAAATTCTTGTTTGACTCGAGATAAAGAGCATGTGTAGCGGGGGTTCGGGTAAAGTATATATCTCATCAACCCTTTTTTACTATTTTTTTTTTTTTCCTTCTTCTTTCAATACAGGCATATTAGCAAGATTCGTTATTTGTTACCGCAAGGAAATGTTGTGTATAAAAGGAAGGAATATTTTCACTGTGATGTTTTTCTTTTGCGAAAACCGACGGAAAAATTCGTAAGAATAAAGACCCACATATTAAAGCTAGGGTTTGTTGTGTTTCTGAAGTTTTTATGTGGATTAAGAGTTTACTTTTTCTGCAATCTAACTAAAAAGATTTTAGATTTAGAGTTAATAAGAAATAATTCCAAACATAATTTGAAAATAACCATTATAAAGATAATTATCATATATGATAATTTTTTATTCGTAAAATTTTAAAATTGCCAATATATTCTAATTAAATTTTATAATAAATGAAATAAAGGTTTACAATTAGAAACTGGACCCAATCCTATACTTTGTTTGGATGAAAAAAAAGTTGTATTATTTAAATAGATAGAAACAAGTTAAAAGAATTGGAAAAATATTTCTATGCTTATTTACTTATTCAAATAAGTGAAAAGAAATTAATAACTATACAAAAACATTTTTATAACAATCCTTTACTCCATATTTTTTTCTAGACATGTATTATTAATTATATTTTTAACTTTTATGAAATTGAAATAATTAAGAGAAGGGTAATTTCTTTTCCATTTTATGTAAATAAAACATTTGTATCTGTATTTTTATTTTCCAATTTCTTTCACTCTATTTGTGCAAGTTGTGCCAACAGATGGGGACGAATACCAAAGGATTTGTACTGTACATGAAACTAAATTTACATAGGAACATGTTTTCTATTTTCTCAGGGTTTGTTGAACATAAATTAAGGTGAAATGTGAACAAGAGACTATGTAATTTACTGGTTCTGATATAAGCACAAAAACAGGTGAAACACCAATATGCAATTATGTGTTTAAACTGATTCACTGATTTCTAGCTAAAGGGACAAACCTCAAAATCGAATAGAAATCCTTGTGGGTCTTTGTTAGTAATTTCTGGATAGTGCACCCTCCCGCCACAGTAGATTGGGACAAAAACACAAAAACACGAGTAAATAAAAAGTACAAGGTAGCAAGATTTGTCATGAAGTATATGTCCAGTTTTGTAACACCCCCAAACTAGTTTATAGACAGCCTGGACAAATAAATTTGGGTGTAATGCACACTGAGGCCTTATTTTATGAACCAACTAGATGGGTCAGTGAGACAGTGACACAGAGAAAAAGATAGGCTGCATGAATAGAAAGTTCAGTTGCATTGATATTGCCTTGGATAACTCTTCTTTTAGGTTTTCACTTTACTACAATAACTCTTATCATTTAAGAGAAACAAAAGGATAAGAGAGAGAAATATGGAAGAAGACTAGTCATGTAAAAATATATACATTTCCTTTATATTATAATTATAGTGATTATTTATTCTCTGAAGGAAATTTGTGATAATATGAATACTCTTTTTTAATATGTTTTTTTCTTATAATTAAGATTAACTAAGAAAAAACTGGGAAAAATTATTATCTTTTGTTACAAAATAATTGCATATAACTTTCCTTTTTCTTATAATGATTATTGTAATTAGATATTTGACTCTCTAAAAGAATCTCTATATATGTACTTAGAATATCAATCTGTAATTGTTACAAACCTAAAATTTTTACATGTATATTGTTTCATAAAAACCTATTTTAGTCCATTAATCAATCTAGCAATATAACTTTTTAACTAATGAGTTAGCATTTTATTAAGAAATTTACTGCAGTAGGAATAAAGCATAGATAAACATCTTGCAGGAAATATTTATATATATATATATATATATATATATATATATATATATAATTAATGCAATGTGAGAATCTTGCAGGATGAGAGATTGGTACAAGTTTCTTGGTTGAATTGGGTTGTGAGAGGGCAACATACATGAACAGAGCAATTAAAGGCGTGGAACCCCCCGTCCTGGCGAAAGTCACATGAATTCCGAGACAGAAGAAAGAGAATTGGGACTTGTCATGGTTATGGTTAAAGTTGTCACAAACTCACAATGATAAGCCTCCAAACTCCATAATACGAGGTGGTCTATATCTTTGTCTCATTTGAAGTGGTGACCTTCACCTCAGTAAAAATATTCAACAGATACACGCTTGCTCAATGCGTGCGTGCATGGAACACTGTCACCTCCTTGGTTTCTTTCAGGATATGGTATTTGCATTTTTCATTACACATGTTTATATTATGTGCAAATTTTTCTGTGATTTTTTTTTTCTCATGAAATAAGTTTTCTTGTAAATTTTATAAAATTTCATTATTAATTTGTTAGATTTATAACATACTTGATCGATATACATGATGCCATTACATGATAATACCTTTATGTTTTTAAACTGAATATATCCTCTCCATCCTTCATGTATACATTGGCCCATCCTTAATTAGATGTATGTATCTAAAGGAAAGCCCATTCTTAAAATGTCGTTTGATGAGGTAGGTACAGTGGGTGCCCAAGATATATATATATTTTTTTAATACTGTAATTGAGTGTTACTTGAATGTACTCTTAGACTTTGTTTTGGATGGGTAGAAAAGTAGGAAAAATATAGAGTGAAAGAAAAAATATAGGAAAAGAGAAAAAGATTGAAAGAGTAAAGTTTAAACGATTTTTTTCTGGACTGAAAAAAAAATCATAGTGAAAAAATTTTATTTGATTGTTGGTTGAGTAAAAACAGAAAAAAATTATTTAAAAAATACAATTCTTATATAATTTTACTTGAAGAATAATTCATAGATTTTTTTTTATCTCTTTTGTTAGAAAGAAAATATTTGTTGTTGTTTATTTTATTTTATTTTCATTTTCTCTCCACTTTTTCCACTATCTAAGTTTTTAATTCATAAAATTTTAAATTGAGTTTTAGCTCTTAATTTTTATTTTTATTTTTTGAAATTTTATTGCTTCTATTTAATCTTTGTTTAAACTTCCATCCTTTGTTGAAAATTTGAATTAAACATTGAGTAATGTTTTAATATTAGTTTTACTAGGTTGTTAACTTGTATGAAATTTTAATATTATTCAAAATTTACTTATTAGTAACACAAACATTGAATTGCAAATTTGCATCATCATCATGACAAACAATATGTAGGTACTATTTTAAGCTCTAACTAAGAAAAGTCATCATTCATGTTTACCACACAATGATAATATAAAAAATTACTTCATAATAAAATGAAATATTAAATTATCTCAAATTGTATTATTAGTTAGCCCTCTAACACGAAGAATAAACATTAATGAAATAATGGTGAATAAACATTAATAAAATAATGATGATGATATTTTGAGAAGAACTAAGGTAAGGTGAAATATATACATATATAAAGTCGATAATCACTTTAATTTTATATATATTTCTTCAAAAAAAATATAACATTATTTACTTAAATGAACTTATTTAATTATTTATTAATAATCTTAATATTAGTAAGTGTCATGTAAAAGAAATAAAGTATTTAAACAAGTATTTATATGAAGTATTTAAACAAGTATTTATATGAAAGACATGCAGGGAAAAAAGTTGCATAGCGTTTAATTATTTTAAAAATAGAAACTAACGCCAAAGATCTTCTTCATAGTATATGGAAGAAAAGTTTCCCTCGGATTCGTCCACCAAAGGCACAAGTAACTCGTTTGGAATTGCAGACATGTCAGTCAAGTACGCATTTGTCCAAAAATCTTCAGTTATTGATTGTATCGATTCTACAAAGTCAAAATCATGGTTCTTCACAGCCAAATTTTCATTATACGACCAAAGAGGAGAGTCTGCCCATATATATTCCATGGTTTTTGCAGCATTTGTAACATTCAAATTCTCGTTACCATTATTTGACATCGAGGCATGGGAAATGTGACATGACTCTGTCATAATATTTCCGTTCATGAAGTCCTTTAAGCATGATGTATCTAGAAAATTCAACCCATGTTTTGGAAATAAATTTTTCTTAGTGGGATAATCCGAGAATTCGGCTGAGGACAATTGGGGGGACAAAGGGTCAGAGGCAGAGTCTGTGGTTTCAGAAATTGTTGGAGAAGGAGAACCGTCGTGAAAGAAATCATCATTGTTCTGATTGGAGTCCTTGTCTTGCTTGGACCTATTTAATTTTGCAACTTTCACATTTTTATTGGTGTGAACTGTATTATTTCCAAAACGCTTTTTGAGATTGCTGTGCCAGTGGTTCTTTATTTCATTGTCTGTTCTTCCGGGTAAATGAGTGGCAATAGCAGACCATCTGCAAGTGAAGAGAGAAAAATTAAGTGATTAAAATGAAATATTATAAAAACGATAGTTCTTAAAAACCTTAACATGATTAATTTATAGGTTTTTTATCGTTATTCTTCTACGAGAACTTAAAGCTTGTAAAACTGTAGTTTTGATTCTCTTTATTTTAGAAATTTACATACTTGTTACCCAGTTTTTGGTGCAGTGTGATTATAGTTTCTTCTTCTTTTTCAGAATAGTTTCCTCTTTTTATGTTAGGCATGAGATAATTCAGCCACCTAAGTCTGCAGCTCTTTCCACACCTTGCTAGACCTGAAAATCAGTGCATCAATGATATTAGTCTTCATACCATGAAATCCAAGAACTCTGAACTCAACGTCTGAAAGTATAATTACTTACTAACAGTTCCATTTTTACGTAATTATAAGTTATAAAAGATGAATGATGAATATCTTGAATTACCTGCAAATCTTGGGAGTTGACGCCAGTTCCAAGAGCCATATCGAGTGACATAAGCTATTAGCTTTCTATCTTCTTCTGGAGTCCAAGTGCCTTTCTTAAGTCCACTTTTGTTGCAGGAAGTGGGTCTCGTCATCTCTATTATTCTATATTGACAATATACTTTTGGTGACAATTTATATTGAGAAGATGATGGTCTCTACCTGCTATGTGCTATGCGTTCAAATAATTGAAACTTGTACTATTTATATTGCAATTTGCACGTCTCATAGTCAACACGTGTTTCATACTTCAATGAGTTAAATAATTATACATTCTATGCTAATATAAGCAATGATGTCGTAAGTAAAGACAAAGTTAAAATTATTGATGTTGATTCACCTTAACTCATGACAAATTAATATGTTGTTTAATTGGAGTCTAATTTAAAAATTAATGCTAATGCATATCAAATTTAATCAATTGATAATATGGTTTAATCAAGAATCTTAAAGTTGATTAATGACATTTTTATATGGTCTCTTTCATTTGATAATAACTTCTTTTTTTTTTTCATCAGTTTACAAAATTGACTATCCTTGTCTTTTAAACTTAAAAACTTTGGATGATGAGCTGCCACATGAGAACTAAATTCTGGAAAAGTAACAAGAAATTTAGTTTCTCTCTATGCATTCGAGAACAATGAACACGTGCCGCACACGAACAACTTCTTCTGCGTGTAAAATGCAATAGTTTTATACTTAAAATCTAATTTTAATTTAATTTTTTAAAACAATAAGACAAGATTGTCTTTTGCTCGTGTAAAAGTTTTTTTTTTCTCAATAATAAAACTGAACAAATATTTTTAGAATTTTATTACATTTCAATATTGTGAAAAGGAGTTGTAAAAAACCCAAACTTACCTTTTCATTGCACATATTATTTATTACTGTCTTTTTTTATATACAAATATATTTTCAAAATGAACGATCTCATACTAAATCATTAGTAATTTATTTATCTGTAATTATTTTTGTGATAAAACTTACTAATTTTAATTATTCATTTATTTTTAAAGTAGATAATATATATATATATATATATATATATATATATATTGTATATTTTTTTTACCTTTTATTTATATTTTCACTGCAAATCATCCTTTTGAATTATATTCATTCGGCATCTTCACATGATAAGAGAAATATTAATAATATATTTATAATTTTTAATTTTACATGAAATTTATGTAAAATATATTTAATAAAAAGAGTGAGATCTGTTAAGTAAATAATATATTTATATGAATTTTATTTAATTTTAAAAATATATGCTTAATCTTTTTATGTGATCAACTTTGTTAGTTTTCTGAAATATTAATGCTATGTAGTTATTAACAAATAAACTTTGAACTATGTACACAAACATGTGAAGTAAAAATATAAGAGATGTAAGGAGATAATTGACTACGTATATAATCATACAGTTACATTAATTTTATTTTATTTTAAATTAACCATACATATTAACTTTAGGTGAATGTTTGGTACGAATTATATCAATTATTATTTTTTAACACTTTCGCAAAGTTGTCAAAGCATGTTTTTTTTTTTTTTAATAAATTTAAGTTAAACTTAGCATCTATTCTCAAAGACACACAAAGATGTAAGATTATATACCGGAGTATAACAAAATTAAGTCGAGTCCTACTTTCAAAAGGGTTTTGGGTATGAAAATAGTTAGATATTAAATTTTACCTATTTATTTAAATAAGTCGAATTTAAAATTTTGAGTTTAACTTATTAAACATGAAACCCTAAAGTTGAGGTGGGTTGTTTAGTTTGTTTATAATTATTTTTTAAATTTATTAAGATAATTATTTCTTAGTGAATTTGTTTATTATATAAACTAATCATAACATAATTTATATATTTAAAAGTATATATTTATTATAAATTGTATTCCGACAAATAAAATAAATATATATTATGTAGAATCGAAGCTAAAATATTAGTTTTCCATAAAAAAAAATAATTTTTTCTCATGATATTATATTTGTAGTATTTATTTTTGAATAATCTGGGCAGGGCACGTTCAAACAAATGAACAACTGTACAATAATAGTGCTTTGGAATCTGTTAATCATGCTTGTGTGCTTTAGGAGATCCATTATAAATCATTTATAGAAAGTTCTGGTAACTTTCTAAGTTTACATTACATCCTCTACTTTTTTTTCAGAACACGATAATTATGAGCCACAAATCAAAACTTCCAAAATAAGATTAAATTAATATTATATTCTATTTTTTATATATAAAATTGTTAGTCTTGTCTTATCTTTATCATAGTTCTATTATATTCTATTTATTATATATATGGTTGTGATTTTATATTTTGATTATAATATATAATAATATATAATTGATTATAATTTTATAAGATTAGTTTAGTATTATATTTATTTATATATTATTGTATTTTAGTTTATATGAGATATTTTAATTCATTTTTCATATTGATAATTTAATATTAGTTTAATAATAGATGATTTAGTTTAAAGTTATATATTATTATGTTCTTATATTTCGATATAATATTTTTTTAATAAATTTATTTATATCGAAAAGTTCATATTTTTTATATATATCCTTATATTGATGAATAGTTTAATATTAATTTAATAATAAATGATTTAATCCATAACTATTAATAATTAATGTTTTAATATTATTAGAATTAAATTTAATATTATCTTAAAAATTGTGAGATACTTAATTCAATTCTAAAAATGACTTCATGAGAATTATATATCTGTGTTTGTTAAAAAATGATTTGAGGTATTCATTAAGTATATTAAAATTAATGTTTGTAATATGAACCAATTATTACTTGTGAATTTTTTTTTAATTAACAAGTAAAAAACTTTTTAATTTAGAGAATATTTTAATTAATTTTGAAACACAATCATGTTAATAAATATTTCATTCAACCATTAATATGAAGTTAATCTTAATCATGAATTTTTCATATATTAATTTAAATAAATCTTTCATGTATTATAAAATTATCTTCATTATAAATTCAGATTTTCACTATTATTTGGAACATTACTTAAATGCTTAATGAAACTTTATTAAATTAAGAAATGATAAAATAAATTACAAGAAAAGATAAATTACTGAAAATACAAATAACAAGAAATATAATTGGGGAGAAACGTAAATTATAGAAAATATAAAATATTAAAAATATATATTACCAAAAAAATAGAAGTTGGTAAAAAAAAATCTAACAAAAATAGTGATCAAAACTACAAATAACTTCATCAAAATAGTTTTTTCTATTTTTAAAATATTTTTTTAGAATGTTAATTTCTTACTACCACATTTTCATATTTTATAATAACTGTACACTGAGAAAAAATTGTTTTCAATGTTCCTATGTAAATATTTGAAAACAATAAACAAATAAAAAATAATATATCAATTTTGTAATACTTATAAAGGATAAATTGTCTGCCTTAATCTTTTATTTATAAATATATATTATGTATAATCTTTATTCTCATATTTTGATAAATTTTATTATAGTTTCTAATTAGTTTTAATATTGCTATTGAAAAACATCCTCATCTTAGATGTGCACTAACTGAATCAAAATGGAAAACTACGATTCAAAGTATTGACTAAAAATGTCTTTTATTAAAAATATACTGGTTTCTAAATTTTTATTCATAAAATCTTTAGGTTGAACAAGAGAAATTGGGATAATAGACGTATAAATAAAAGTTTTTTTTTTTAATTTCAACTTTCAAATATATTTAAAATTATAAAGCTATTTAGATGAATTTGTTAGAAAGTATTGGTTTATCAATTATAATTATGGAAAATTTCTTTCAAAATGAATGAAAGTGATAAAAGTTTATCTTATTCTAATTTTGTGAAGTTAGGAAATGTATTTTTGGTTTCTGTTACTAATTCACCCATCAAAATATTCAATGTCATAAAGGAAGAAAGAAAAAGGATGAGACACGCAACCAGAGGGGAAGACGTGAAGAGATGAATCACCATTTAGACAGCAGCATAGATTCATCAACCGATTTAAGGAGATGGTGGACCTGGATGCTTCGGAGAAGGAGAGTACGGACAATTATAAAAACTCGAAAAATCAGCCTTTAACATGGCCCACCATCACATGTCACCATTGTTAATTGTATTTAGACATTGATATTAACAATATTGTACACATATTGCCACACTTTGATAGGAACAAAACCACGTCCTCCTTAACTTATCCTTATTTTATTTTTTGGTTTCTATTTTTTTTTAAATATATATTATTTATAGTTTTATTTTTAATTATTTCTCAATAACATGTTAGATTCAATATTATTTTTGTTAGAGCAAAATGTATTGGATAGAATATATAGAGAGGGAGAATGATATTAAGAGTAGTGTTAATGAAAATAAATGAAATTATATTTATAAAAACAAATAGAAAATAGAAGTTAGTTGGATCTAAGTTAAGATATTAATGATTATTATTAATTGTTAAATTATTAATTATTATAACATCCTAATTCAATAATTGATTTTACATTTAAGCTTATTTTTTATTTTATATTCATCTTTATCTAATTTCAATTTTGTTTCAATTAGGGTAATTGTTGCATTACATTCATTTATTTTGAATTTTTTTAATACTTATTTAGTATATTTACTTATAGTGGACCATAATCCTTTTTTTCCTTCGATAAACTTCATACCCAGAAAATATGATAACATTTCTAGATCAGTCATCTCAAATTGATCATTCATCCTTCTTTTGATATCCTTGATTGATATCATTTTGGTGCCAATGATTAACAGATCAATGACATATAAACTTATTGTTAATACTTCATCATTCTCTTTTTGAGTAAATTTAATATTCTCCTTGATATGAACCTTATTTGCACAAGGACTAACTTAAGATTTTTAGGATTAGAATCTTATAAGAAATTTAGGAAATTAGTGAGAAGGTGGATTAGAAAGTGATGAAGTTTCAGGATTGAGAAGAATTTTAGAAACATCAATATCTCAAGCTATAAAACTTTGATTGAGGTGATTCAAAAATGAGGTGAATGTTTTCGTTATGAATTTTAATTTAGACTCA